CCCTCGGGGTCAGCCCGGGGCCGGCCCGCCTGCAGGGTGGCCCTCTGAGCCCTGGCCGGCCTCTCCTTACCCTCCCTGGTGCCCTAAGAGGGGAGCCGAGCGCGGGACGCCTGAGGCAGGCCCCCACCTCCCCTGACGAGCCCCAGCGCACGGTGGCAGCTGGGGGGCGGTGCAGGCTTGCGGGAGAGGCCAGGGCCGAGGCTCTGGGGCCGCGCACACCACCTCCCGCCTTCTCTCTCCATCGTGGGCTCAGAGCGGTGGACCTGATCCGGCACGGGGGCAAGAAGATGCGGTTTCTGGTGGCCAAGTCCGATGTGGAGACAGCCAAGAAGATCCGCTTCCGCACGGCCCCTCCCTAGCGGGCAGGACGTCCCTCGCACGCCCGGCCCAGTCCCGCCGGCGACACCAACCTCCATTATGCCTTCGTCTGTGGGTTCCCCTGACGAGGCGGGTCCCCTGTGGCGCCTCGCCTTCGGGACACGCCTATCGATAGTGTACATCTCGGTATCTGTTTGTGTATATGACAGAGGACACTAGGTTGTGACATTTGTTACCGAGCCTTTCTGTTTAGAGGCCTGACTGGAGAAGTCTAGATCCAATAAACTCTCTTTCCTGTTCTTAGAGGGTGCCGTGCCGGGGTCTCAGTCTCACCGGCGGGCGTGGGTGGCTCCCACGGCCACTCCCAGTCCCTGGCGTGGGAGGAGCCCTGGGCGGACCCGGGGGTGCTGTCCCAGGTGGAGCCATCGGAACTGACTCTGTGTGCCTCGGCCCACCCGGTGACAGGGACCAGCAGGAAGTAGACTGAGCAGCCCCCTTCCAGCCGGAGAGGGGACAGGGCACAAGCAGTGTGGCTTGACCTTTTTAGTCACATTGCTCAGCTTGGCCCCTAAAGAAAGGTGTAGAGACCCCAGAAGATCAGAAGCAGAGGAGCCCGACACGCCTCTGAGCCCAGCCTGCCCTCCCAGCAGGACGCCCGCTCCTCCCTGAGTTCTGCTCTCATCCCTAAGCTGCCAGCTTGGCCCTAATACCCAGGCTGGCGACCCAGGCGCCTAATCTGCGGCTGGCGTTCACCTGGTCACGGCCCTTCAGCCCGGCAGGAGGCCGGCCGCCCTGTCCACCAGCCGGCTGGCCGTGTGCAGGGCCAGGGGCCCAGGGGCAGGGCCGTGTGAGCGTCGCGATGGTAGCAGGGACCGCAACCTCCATGCTGGGCGTGAGCACGCACTGGGCCACGCTGGGCGTCCAGCAGGTTCGGCAGCTCCGTGGCCCGGGTGTGGATGGCTTCGTGCCCCTCACCGTGTGTGGAGCTGGTGGCCGGGCTCTGGGCTGAGGTCCTCATCTTTGACAGCAGCCGAGAGACCCTGGGCACGAGGGGTCCAGGCCGGCCAGTTGCAGACGCTCCCCACGTGGAAAGGGGTCTGCGTGGAGGGAGCCAGGCCCCAGAGCAGTGTCCTGGGGCCCTCCGTGCGTTGCGCTTGCAACATTCCCCGGTCGTCCAGGTGGAAGTGGCACAGCTGTGCCTGGAAGCTGGGCGAGACGCGGCAGGACGGGGGCCGGGAGGCCGGGAGTCCGCGCCCACCCCAGGCCGGGCCTCCCGACAGCGGGCAAACCCTCTCGGCTCCCTCCCCGCTTCAGGTGGCCCAGGCCAGTGAGTCCTCTTGGGTCCTTTGGCCCTGCAGCCTGGCGGCCCTCGTGACCTGCAGGCCGACCCTCGCCCGGCTGCCCCTCGTGGGCCCTGAGCTCTCGCCCTCCCCCCCCCAGGGTGCGCACCACACCATCCCCGAGCGGCACCCAGAGGCCCAGAGCGGCCCCCTGGGCGAGGGAGCCCGAGACGCAGCCCCGGCATGCTCTGTGTCCTCGGGGGCTCCCCGGACACTCGCGCCCCGCAGGAGGCGCCCAGCCACAGGGGCTCCCAGGCCGGCCCCCTGCACACCGACACGTCGTGCCTGCTCACGCCTCCCAGCACCCCGCTCGGCCTCGAGCCTGGGGCCCCCGACTACACCCGGGGAGCTGCAGCGGGTCTGCCCCAGGCCCTTTGCTGCTGCTGCTGTCCCATGGAAGCCTCGGCGTAGCACCTGGCCTGCAACAGCTGCCCACTGCCAAGTTCCCGAAATGCTAGATAAAATATGTTTTCAACAGGTCGTTTTAAAATTCACTGTTGATTCAGAAGAAAAGAAATCCTTAGAGCCCCAGACAGAAAAGAGGGCTCAAGTTCAGAGCGGCTGCAGCTGGCCTGGATGCTGATGGCTGGTCTCAGTTCTTCACTCCGCTGGGTCACAGCGGCCTGGTGGGTGGAGGCGGCAAAGCCTTGACCACACCAAGCTGGGAGCCTCGTGGGGACCCCGCGTTACTCCAGAGGGCCGAAAGACCCCAGGGAAGGCGAGGACACAGAGCTCGCTGGGAGCTGGGCACAGCTAGCCCGCCACCAGCGCCGATGTGTTTGATTCTCAATGACAGTTCGTTGCAGAGGGGTCTGTGATCATCCCCGTGTTCAGATGAGGAAACTGAAGCCCAGAGAGACTGCGATTTCCCACGTCAGTCAGCCACCGCCACATCCTGCCGGAAAGAACTGTCACAAAACACGGCATCTTGAAGACAGCCATCCTTCAGCCTCGCCCGGCTCCCTCCCAGGCAGCGAATGCAGGTGTGGCCGGTGGGAGCTGGCTCTGAGCTCCGTGGGGTCTGGCTCTGCTTCAGGTGTCTCCCCCAGCCCCACAGACTCTCCCGGGCACCGTAGCAATGTCAGAGCGAGCCCACCCCCCTCCCCCCGCATATTCAGCATGGGTCACCTCTGCTGGCATCCTGTTGGTCAAAGCAGGTCACGGGGCCAGGCACCCAATCAAGGCATAAAAGACCTGCCCTCCCCGCCCCCACTGTGAGGCCGTAGCCAGGACGTGCGTGTGTCCTACGACTCCGGGGGAGCAGGGAATCGAGACCAGCAATTTGGTGCAGCCCTGGGAGACAAAGCCAGGCTGTGATCGATCGTGGGCGCTGACCCCAGGCTCTCAGCCACAGCGAAAGTCTCCCTGCCAAGAAAATGGTAAGGGAATGTTTCCCGATGGCCTTGGCTCTGGGTGAAGCAGGAACAAAGCGTCCCCTCCAAATCTGAATTCACAAGCCAGTTTTTATGCAGGTTTGGGACCCACTTATAACATATGCCTGCTGGGCAGATCGTGGAAAGCAGCGCTCCCAGGCGTCTGGGAGGCAGCAGAGATTTTCTCCCGGATGAACACTCTCAGTGCAGGCTTCCAGATTCCAGAAGCAGCAGCCCCGTCAGGGGCCGGCGCTTCCCCCAGGCCGAAAGGCCTCTGTGTGGAGGGGGCCGGCCCCCGAAGCAGCGTCCTGGGTCCTGCCCGGACACTGGCCTCATGCAGCTCCACACGGCCCTCCAGTGAGCACCAGGGAGGTTTCCAGAAAAGATCATTCAATCGGGTACTAGCTTCCCCCAAAAAGAACACTGGAGACCAGCAGATAGAATAATTTAGCCAAAAGAGTAAGGGAAAACTGTCCTTCTAGAATTCTAAACCCACCTAACATCTTTCAGGGATAAGGATATGCTTAAGATAATGTCATACAAACAAAATGAGAGAATGTACTACTGACTTTTAGACACTAAAGGAAATGACCAAAGTTGTCCTTTAAGAAGGAAGATTTTGTCTCATGGAAGATCTGAGATGCAAGAATGTATGGTAAGTAAATGAATCACAAATGTGGAGAAATAAAATGTGTTATAAAACAACAATAGTAATGTCTCCTTTGGGAGATGTTTAAGGAAAAAGGTAGTGAAAAACTCAGGACACTAATGCATGTAAGTCAGAAAGAGATGGTGACAGGAGTTAAAATGTTCTAAGGTCCTTGCATTTTTTTTTTTTTTAGAGGCCACTAATGATATTGACTAACTTTAGACTTTGTTAAGGATGTCTGTTGGAGTTTTCAAGGGTAGACACTAAACGAATAGAGTGTTTAACTTTCAAACCAACAGAGGTAAAACATGGAAAAGGAAAAAAAAAAGCCTATGACAGAGAGGAAAACCTCAAAAATAAAAATGGACAAGTAGTACTAAATAAACTAGAAATTTGTTCAAAATTGTCAGCAATCAATATATGTAACTCACTGATTAAAGGACAAAAGGATTGTCAAGCTAGATAAAATATAGTTTCATGATATTTAAGAGAAGTAAGCCTAAAACAAGAATGTAGAAAGGTTAAAGATAAAAGAATAGACAAAGATACATCGAATGCACAAAGTAATTAAAAATTCAATTCGTGGCTGGGTGTGGTGGCTCAGCCTGTATAATCCCAGCACTTTGGGAGGCCAAGGTGAGAGGATTGCCTGAACCCAGGGGTTTGAGAAGAGCCTGGGCAACTTGGTGAAACCTCGTCTTTACAATAAATCACAAAAGATAGCTGCACATGGTGGTGTGTGTCTGTAGTTCCAGCTACTTGGAAGGCTGAGGAGGAAGGATCGTCGAAGCCCAGCAGGTAGAGGCTGCGGTGGCCATGAACATGCCACTGTAGCCTGGGCAACAAAATGAGACTCCAACTCAAAGAAAAAAAAAATCAATTCACTAGGAAAATGAAACAATCTTAAACTTGGATATACCTAATAACATGTTCTCAAAATACATAAAGCAAAAACCTATGGAACCAGAGGGAGAAGTGGATGGATCCCCGATCATAAAAGAAAGCCTTAGCATAAATCTCAGTAATTGAAAAATACAGCAGGCAGCAAATCACTAAGGATATATGAACAAAGGAATGCCCTTCCTTGACCTCTTGGAACTTAAATTATAGTTTTCCTAGGCTGGCAATAAATAAATATATGGATAAATATGGAGCATATCAGTGATACATACTGCAGAGAAAAATAATGCAGGGTAGATGAGACAAGGAGTGTGTTGGTAGAGACTGAGAATGGGGTGAGGGTGTTGTTTAATATACGGTGTGTGGGAGGGCCTCATTAATAAGACGTCATTTAAACAAAGAGCCCAAAATGAGAGAATAAGCTATAGGGACATCTGGGGGAGAGCATTCCCAGTAGAAGTACTACAGACAAAGGCCTCAGGCTGGGAGCATTCGTGGCACGGGAACAGGAAGGGAAGGCCACGTGACTGAAGCAGTGACACGGGGGAGAGTCCCAGGAAGTCAGGCCCGGCAGTGCATGGGGGCCCAGATCAAGCAGAGCCTTGCAGGTTGTTGCAGGGACTTTGGATTTCAGTCTGGGCGAGATGGGAATCTTATCAGAGGGCGTTGAGCAAAGAAGTTACACGATGTGACGTACGTGTTAGACAGCTGCTTGCTGAGGATGCGTGGAGAGTGATGGGCCAGGAGAGCCCGACAGGAGGTTCTCACCAGGACCTTGC